TAAAAATGATAATAAGGACGAAAATCCTAAACAAAAAACCATAGTGTATACAATTTTTTACCAATTTGAAATAAATTTTAATATATTAACATTTATTTTTTCATTTTATTAATTTAAACGATTATTACGACCACCACAAGTGGTCTTGTAGAAATATAATTGAATATCGATTAGAAGTATTCAAACATATTTTTAAAGCACTAAAATTATATTAGTTCGATTATTTTTAATAATCTTTGAACAAAAAGGTTCTATTTCTTATGAAAATTTTATATACTAAGAAATATATACTGAAATAAGTAAGTCGAATATAATTTCGGAGGGCTAATTTAATTGTTCTTTTTATTATACTTTTTCAACTAGTAAACTAAGTTCTCCTAGTTACAGAACACGACAGAAAAAAACAAAAGTCATTGAAAATTTGATTCAATTTTTTTTGTCCTTTGTGTCAACAAAGGTCCTGTTTCATCTATGTCATAGTTCTTTATTTTATAATAGCTTAAGCCCACTCATGAATGAACGAATCTTATTCTCAACTTTCCAAAATGTCTTAACATTCATTTACTCATTACTACAAATATTAATACTGAACAATTTAATATTTAATTTAATTTAATGAATTATTCAAGCAATTGTAAATAATACTAATTCAAAATTAATTAAATTTCGTTTTTTTAAATTTATAAATAGAAAAATAAATTGATTTTGAAACAAGCTAATTTTTTCTTTTATTTAAAAGAGACAATATCTAATTGAGAAATTACTAACTGGGAAAAATATAATATTTCATAGCAAATTATATGTTCTATTAAAATTAAAGAATTTTAAAATTTAAACATTATAATGATCACATGTCAAAAATGAATTATTCATCTATTACGACTACATTTAATTTTGAAATTAAAATGAGTTCATAATAGGTCTGTAATAATATATTTGGTGTGTCACAATTTGGTTTTTAAATTAATTTTTTTAATAAAATAAATATAGCTGCCTTGGGACTCACTTATATTGTACAAAATAAATAAAAAAAAGAAAATTCACCTTATTTAACGGACAGTATTTTGACTAAAATTAGGTAATTTTTACTTTTATTTAGAAATAGACAAATATTTTTTTAAATATAAACAGATTAATAATAAAATTCATTGATTTAATAAAATTTCACAAGATTACTTCTTACAATAATATTGATAATAAAATTTATACATTTTTTACATTTATTTCAAGAAGCCATTCTAAGTCAATATTTACTCATCGAACAAACGTACCAAATTTAATGTCAGCTGTTCGAAAATTACAAGAGTTTGGGTGGGTCACTGAGTGGGATTTCTCTTAACAACGTAACGAGGATATACAACGACAACACCCGATATCGTTAAAAAAACCATCACTTGCAGGGTTTTGGAGAGTCGTTAATATAATCGTTTTCCGAGAAACCGAAAATCGATGAGGTGTTTTGCGTTTTATGTCGAGTACAAGAAAGTATAGTATCGAACATTACAAGTGTTAAGTCAACGACTCAGTCACGTAACCAAATCGCAGACAAGGCGTTAAATTGCTGCAGATTTTTGTATGTGTATGTCAGAGTCAACATATTTTCATAATATCCAATCTCGTTTGCGTATCGCCAAATTATGGTACACTATAAACGCTTCGGTGTTGTTATACTTTAACCCGACATAATCTCCATTTCCTTGTATGTGTTACGTTATTATACAAGATACATGATACTAGTGTTGATAAGGACCACACAAATTTTCTGGATAAACGTTTTTTTTTAACGCTGCTAGACACTTATCCAATTGAATTTACAACAGCTTTCACTAAACGCTGAGACGGTGTGGTGATATTGCCCCTTATCTGTTGGTCGAAAAATTTTCTACTCATGAGGATTATTCAGTTAAATAATATCGCAAAAACACACCAGTTGTTGTACTAATGAAAAACTTGACTTGTTATACTGCTTAAACGATACGGAATTCACAATTTTTGACTTTAGTGATGTTATTCCTTTAAGAGATATTTCAAAGATAAAATATAAGTTATCAATAAAAAAAACTTCATTTGAACTATTCATTGATTTTTTAGGGTCTCAAATCATCCTATAGAGTTTAGCCAAGATACAAAATGTATTTAATAAATAAAAACAATTGATAAAAAATACAATACTTAACTAACATTTGTGAAGACTGTGAAAGGTATTAATGACATTTTATTTTATTTTACATCATTTTTATAAACACTAAAAATCGATTTACAAAAAATAAAATAACACATAGATAAGTCTTGAATGTTAGCAGAAAAAATAATTAGGGGGATAACAAAAAACAAGATATAAAGTAATAGTAACAACATACTAAAATATTAATAAAAAGTGAAAAAAAATGTATATATATATTTGTATATATAAATAGTAATATTACATGCTAAATTTAAAGCAGTGGGTGACAAAAAACTACAAATTGTTTAGGAAGCGAAGTATGATATGTATAGATTGGTTATAATTATAAGAGAAATAATATAAAGGAATATAAAAAAAAAATTATTTCATCATAGATAATAGGAAATACGGAAGCACACAAAATACAAAAAGTTAGAGCCATCGATGGAACCACTAAAAAGTAAAATTAGTACATAAAAGGTCAACATCAAAATGCCGGACTTCATTAAAATACTTTAATTTCATGATAATTTTTCATGTGATAATATTATTTTAATTTATAAACATGAAATTATATAATATTATTATATTGAAAAAATATAATTTTGTACTTTTTTCTTTTAAAACAACGAAATATATTCATACAAGTATATTTTCTAAATACAATTTGAAATATATCCTATGGTAGTCATGTTACTAACCACAAAGGAACTAACTTCATTACATTTTGCCACTTTTAGTAAAATCAAAATATGTTTAAAATTATAAAAAAAAAAAGTTTTTTTTTTCTTATTATTAAAAATAGACAACTAACTAAATAACTTTAAGTAGAAAAACTTTAATTGTCAAAGTAATATTATCATATTTATAAAACAATTGTACTTTTATAACTATCTTGAAATTATAACATATTCTATTAAAATAGAGAGGTTTTTAGATTAACATATATTTTTATTTCTTTTGTACAATTTAACAAATTAAGTTAGTAAGATAATATGTACTTTTTTGTTAGGTATTTAAAAAAATCAATTAAAATGCATCATTTAATAATAAATACAATGTGTAAGTAACACTCTTTGAATTTATTATAACAATCACTAATGAAGAATTAAACGTTAAAAAAAGCTTTCAATTAATTTTTAACAAATCACATTTTATACATGTATAATCAGAATTTTGTTTATAATACTTTAAAGCCAAAGTAATTGAATTTTCTTTACGGGCATCACTTCGTTCTAATTTCAGTTCACTCGTTGTACAACAAAATACATAAGACAGCGAGTAATTCTTATTTTAATTTGAAAGTAGTGCGCTATCGATGTAATGTTAAGTGAATCCCTTAAAACTTCAAAAAATATTCGATCGGAGTTTTAAAACAGCTGTGTAATGTAGTTATATAAAAAACAATGTAATTAAATGAATATACTATTGCACATATTACGAAAACATTGAACCATCATTTAAATATTCTTTAAGAGAAAAGCAAAAAATATCATTCGTGTTTTTCTTGTGACTACTTTTAAGTTTTTTCGACATTTAAAGCGCAACTCATTTGATATGCTCTAATAAAAATTCCAACATTATACAACGGCTGGCACATATAAAGTAAATAAGTAAACAAGTAAAAAGTTAAGTAAATTAGTTGAGTTTCTATTTGTTAGACTATTTTCTGATTTTTTCAAGCCAATGTGAATGTTAGCGAACCTTCTAAGAACAGATGACTTTTCTAGGTATATTTTAACGGTCCCCGGAGAACTATTTGAAATATTAGGTGTTCCATTCAAATTATTATACCTTCTCGACTAGACATTTATTCTACGAAGTTTTATTTATTTTTTATATGTCCAGACAAGTGTTCAGGTCAAACGTATAAAAAATAATCATGATAAAACTGTTCTGCATTATTTCATATGTTTACTTATACACTTGAGACTACATCACAAAAATATTTTTTCCACTTTCGTATTCTTGTCACGGCTTCGTCGAGACAATTGATTCGGCCGAGAATATTTTTCCGTTTTATTTTCATCTTTGAAAATTTTTTACTTGGTTTTTAAGACCTCCATCTCAATAGTATATTCTTAGAAGTTTTATTTATTTGCGGTCATTGTGCGAGATCGAAGTTGAACGAAACCAGTGTATATTGCAATGCACACATAAAGTATTATTATTAAAGTTATTATTTATAAAAATACAAAATTTATAGGTTAACTATCAGCTAATAACATTAAGTATTTCATATCAAGAACTTTGAAACTACAATCCACATAAAATGGTAAACAATTTAAGATAAATAATTTTGCAAGCCAATTTCTTTGTGGTGGATAATCTTAATTTATTTTTATTAAAATTATATAACAAATAGTGATATCAATGTATACTTTTTAAATTAATCTAATTCGGATTTTCATATTTTCAACAACGTTGTTCAACACGTATATCCTTTGTGTTACATTTATTACTGTTGTTTTAAATAAAAAAATTCCTAAGAGTGTCTAAGACGTTTTATGCAAATAATTTGTATAATTCACTGCATATATATATATATATGATTTGCATACCTTAATTAATTAAAACACTCCTCTTTCGTTTTATCAAAAAATTATTTTTTAGGTACACTGGTACATTGTGTATATTGTATTTCATAGTTTGAAATTATCGTAAATAAAATGAATTTTAAGAAACTTTAAATTAATTGAAAATCAGTATTATAACTAATTTTTGTAATCTCAGTTATTCAAAGAAATATAAAACTGATGATTATAACTTATAATATAGTAAACAGAAGTATTGTATCAGTAAAAATTAAAAATATGCAATATTTATTTATGTATGTGAATATATATTTCAAACACATTGTTTATTTTTACAAATTAACTAAAGTAAACATGTTACCGTACTTACAAAAAAAAATTCTACAAATTATTTATGATTTTATTAATATAGTTGAAGTATATTTAATGACCATTCTTGCCTTTTGGCATAATTTTTGTCGATAGAACTCTTGTTTCTCTATGATTACTACTCTCCACTGAAGCGTCATCATTATTATAGTAATCAGAACTATTGGCATTTTTACTTCCAATTTCACTGACTTCATTTTCGTCATCAGTTGCTTGTGGCTCTTGCTCTTCTGTTTTTCTATGTTCTGAAGATGTACTACTCTTTCTAATTTCCTGTTCTAAACTTCCTAAATTATCTAATGTTGATGATGATTTAAGTAATTGATCTTCACCACCATCTCTTCCATATCGTCGGTAATTACCGGAGTGTTCTCCAAAATCACTGCCTGGTTCCGGCAGATATCCACCATTACCATTATGACCATGATCTCCATCATGTTCACCATCTCCATGGTGGCGATTTTTATACTTGATGAAATACACCTCTGGTTTATGTGGCTTTTGAACAGGTTGCTCAGGTATATGTATTGGTGGAGGTTCTTCTTGTTTTGGATGTAGGACGTAAATGAGGGTTTTATCCTCTTGTTGAGGCGGTGGCACTATAATCGGTGCAATAGGTGGAACGGGCGTAGGCGCTTTTATGAAAATTATTTGATAATTCTTTTTAGGTGGAGATTTTGATACAATGACGCGTGGCCTACGTGGTGGTTCATCATCAGGTGGTGCTACGTGCACATATACGGATTTGTGTATAATTGGCTGTTGAGGTTTTGGATAATCATAACTACCCCCTAAGGAGTAACCAGAATCATCATGGTCTGAAGAGTAATTAGGTCCTCCGTGGTCTGAAGAATAACTTGGACCTTTATTACTTGGAGAATATCCAGAATTCCCGTTACTTAATAAATAACCAGAATTTCCATTACCATTATAAGTAACAGATACAGGTGGCGACTCATGATCAAACCCACTTGAACCGAATGGAGAAGAGTTGGGACTATCTGAACCAGTAGAATATTGTGGCGATGGTTGAGGTGATTTAAATTGGTTTTGTCTCGGAACAAAATCTGTGAAACCAGTTGCTTCCAAACTTAACTTAACTCCGTTATTACCACCTAACTGTTGATAGCTCTCTGGTTGATCTTTAAAAACGCCTGGAGATGAAGGTGCGAAACCATATCTTTCGTTAGCGTGTTTTCTATCTTCTTGTTGATATTGTTGTTGTTGTGGTGACTTACTCAAATAGTAGGGATTTTCATTTCCTAAAGACTCCAACGCTAATTGTCTACCTATTTCATCTGGCGTTGGTACAATAAATCTTTTTAACAAACTTTTGTTGATTTCACTCTCTGGCATAACTTCTTGAGAAGTAACACTTTTTATTTCACTGTTTTCAGAAGATGTTTCAGATAGTCTGTCATTTTCTACCGATGAACCGCATGAAATACATAGCGTCGTGAAAGAAAGAGCTACCTATTTTAATTTAAAAAAATTAATAACACCAAGAAAAGAAATTAATTTATCAAATAATTCATAATAACTAAATTGTATTGTTTTTTAAGCAATCTTAAACTTATTTATAATCACAAGTATTTTATAATTTAAAAAAAAATACCAAATGTTATTAAAATCATAATTTTCATTGATAAAATTATTGCTTATTCGTTATAAAATTTAATTTACTTAACACAACGTTTTAAATATTTAATAAAAATTCTTTAAAAAGTCTAATGTAAGTGATATATTAATTTATCAAAACCGAATTAATGTTTAAAAAAACATACAATACATTTTTTTTTTAATTGTTGAAAATTTGAAACATTCTTACTCGTTTAATAACTAAAAATGGATTTTAAATATGATCTAGTTAATTCTTACCAAATAAAAAAACTTAACACCCATTTGTACTCGATATCATAAATATTTTTTATTAAAATGTTCGTCTATTATAGCATGAAACATATCCGTCTTACTGTCACAGTTAACATAACTAAACTAAATACTATCTAAAAGAACAGCGGACCACGCGGTTCGGATGAATTTTCTATTCGAAGAAAAACTAAATTTGGCGGGAGATATTGTAGAAGGGAAGAAAACCAATACGGAAACATCGTGTAAGAATATATGATCTAAACCTTAAACCAAATAAAAATTTTGATGGCATATCCATTATTCTATCAATATTCTTTCTCAATGTCAAAATATAATGTCAGACGGTTAAATAGATATTGGTATTAAGAATATATTGAGTTAAAAAATACAATTTTACATTTATACATGTCTATGTTGATATATAGAGATATTCATTTCCTTTACTATTATTTTATATATGAAAATGACAACACCTAAAACAATACCATTTAACACCATGAATTTGTCATAAAACATTCATTTGTCAAACTGAGATTATTATTTTTTTTTTCAAAACTGAAAAATATATTTACAAAAATATAAACATATTATGTTATTTGACATAATTTTTATTTTTTGTTCACAGTTACATAAACATGTACGATTCATGATAGCCATAATCAAATAAAATGGACAAATACATCAATAGGTAAATAAGTACGCAAGTAGTTTGCAAATAATACAATTATTAATTATCATATTAGTATTAAATTTAAATAAAATAAGGTAATTTTAATCTCACTTAAATATAGTTATTTTTTATGATCATACTCAATTAAAGAATTATTAAAATAAATCTAATGTATATAAGAAATTTTTAAATTAAATAATACAATTATATATTTTGGAGATATCGATTTAACTTAAAAAAATTTTAAGCAATACAAGATGTTCCATAATTATTCACACAACTTAAAAAAAATATTTATTTTAAAATTTGAAAAATTAAGTTAGGATCGTTAGGATTCGTTGGATAATATTGGATTATATGTATAAAGTTTTGTTTGTTATTATTAATTGTTATCAGTTAACAAGACTTAACATTTTTCAATAAATCATATATTTGAAATCTATGAAATTTAAATGTTGAAAAAAAATGAAAAATTTCGTTAAGAATTTAGTGATTGTATAGATTTATTTCTTCTAGAATATTTGGAAGCCAAGATAATTTCCATATCGTTTTATGCCAAACAGTATTGTGAATCTTTTTGGCACCTTGGGAGTCAAAGTTTAACACTATTTTTTAAAATAGTAAACAGAAAATGTGGAAAATATGGAGACATAAAACTTCCGTAAGTCATAACTCATTGAAAAGAGAATCCGGTTGATACTTGATTTTCTATATTAAATTTACATGAACAGAGTATTATTTTTTTGCGAGTTCGCTTTCATTTTTATATTTTTATTTGTTCTATAATTTACAAATAAAAAGTTTTATCGAAAAATTGTACGGGAGTAAAGAAAATCCAAAGAAGTATAAAAATTGTATTATCATTATTATCAAAGAACATAAAATTTACTCGCATAATATTTGATAATGAATGACAGAAAATTTCATTTTCATTATTAAAATTATCAGTTAATAAGTTTATTAAGTTTAGCAATGTGTAAGAATTTCATTCAATGGTATAATAACTTAAAAGGTCGTCTAATTGGCCAAATTATATTGTGTGTACGTGCAAATATTTAATGTTAATTTGTTAAAACACTATTATGGCCGACTTAAAGGCTATGTGTAATGGCAAAGTTCCAAACACGTCAGTATAAGTACATAAAAGCACAAGCAAACACTTTACACCAGTCAATTTTTCCAGAGTTAAACTTTTTGTTGTTCTCCATTTGGTATCTTAATGATAGCATAAAAGTGCATGCAAGGTCACTATATCGGATTATTATTATTTTGATGATCTCATTTTCATTAAAATTGTGTATTATTTATTCAGAAAAACAGTACACTTCTATCTATCCCTCAGTATAATAATTTTTAATGAAAGTATATAATATTAAGATTTTATTCATTCTACCGCATTATCTCAAAGAAAATTTTCATAATTATTTTTTTTTATTCCTTTTTAAAAACTGCCACATAGTTTAAAAGCTATTTTATTTAAGAAAGATGCTACTATTATGAAAATAAATACTATTTTTTGAAACTTAACGGAGGATATTTTTTTTACTGACGCTACATAGTTTTTGCATAAAGCACGGTAGTATTTTTTAAAACTTTTTTTAATCATTTCAAAATAACTGATAAAATATTTAACATATATATATATAAACTCGTGATATAAACATTTTTAAATATCAATTTTACAAGAATTTTATTTAATGAATACTTCTATATGACTTTAAACATAAACGAAACTACTCACGATAACACATAACTACATAAATATAAAGAAACAATAATCAATTTAAAAAATTAAACATATAAAGGCTTCTTTTTATCTAAATTTTTTTTTTTTTATTGAATTGCATCGATATTAAATTGTTTAATCAATGTTTATTTTATAGTTAAAAATTAATAAAATAAAATATTTTTGTCCAAATGAAACAGGTATATTTAATTTTATTTTAAAGCTCATTTTTAAATAATAAATCACAACTAATAATATTTATATACATTGCTATCTGGATACGAATTTATTTGGATTAAACGTAAAAACAAAAAAGTTTTAAATTATTATTTATATTTTACATAAGATTTTTGCTAATCTTAAATGCTATATTCAAAAGAACTATTAACAAATACAAAAGTCTTTGTAATTTTCGCCTGCAAATTCTGTAATTGTTTTACTCTATTTTTTTTAGAGACAAAATAATATAAACTATTCAGTTTGCTTTTTATTGTATATCAAAAAGTGAAGTATTTTTAACTTCTTCATTTCTTACATATTCTGCTTTCTTGACATATTATTATTATTCTTATCTTCGGTTACGATTTTCCTAGAAATTTTGTAAAGTCCATTTAATTTAATAAAGTAAAGTGCTTGCCAATGAAATAAATTATTCACTTATAAAACCATTAATTAGTTAACGTGATTATCATTCACTGCATTTATTCTAAAGTAAATCATTGATCCATTAATTCGGCAGCCTCAATTATAATGTATAATAAATAAACGATTTTAAGTATACAATGACTTTATTCCTCTAAATTAGTATATATTTTTTTTAACTGATTTATTGTACTCTTTAATATAGTATTACTTATCAATTAAAAATAATTAATAAAGGATTTTGATTTGTTTTAAATCAACAAATCTCAAAATTTTGTAAAAAAAAATTTTAATTTAATATAGTAATTATTACAAAATGTTGAAATATAAATGGTTTTATTTTTATACTACAATTGAGTTAAAAATAAAGAAACCAAGATTTATGTGTATTGCGTTCTTAAGTGTACAAAAAACATTTTAAAGGTTTTTTAAAGGTTTTATTTTTGAACTATAATTATACTATTTATTTATACTTTTTATACTTTTTTGTGTAGAAGTCCTGAAAGTTGACTTATTTTGGCACAATAACAAGTTTTTTTTAATTAAATCCACAATTGACTTACTAGAATGAGATTAAAACTCGTCTCATAACATAATTTTTGTATAATAAAAATTACTACCTACTCGAGTATAATTTTTCACTTTAATTTAAAGGTAAAAAATAATGATCGAAATTACGTTTATAGATATTATGGAAAAATTCCATAGGACGGGTTGTCTAGGTTTTCCGAAACTCTTTACCAAAGCAATAGTTTTTAAAGGACGTTAAATAAATATTAATTTATAAAATTTATATAGTGCTAAGGAGTTCCATAATTGAGTAAATATTAATATTTATTGACAGTAGTTCAATAGAACTTATTAGAAATTGTACCACTATAATTTATATTTCTTAAAGCAAGTTAAACATTTTATTAAGATTAAAATTTGAGAGTATTTGAAATTATTATAAATGAAAATTTAACAATAAACTTTAAACAATAATAATTATTAAATGAACTATTACTAATAGTGAATTTATTTGAATTTAGTAAAAATAAAAGTTCATATTTAATCTGTAGAAATAAAATTATAATTTAGAGGTGTTTGTAGCTTGTTCCAATATTGAAAAATAGAAACACAAATCGATTTTAATACACTCCAGTAGTTTTAGAGCCAATACACCTATTGGCGATTTGTATGACAATGTTATTTTCAAGGGTCATCTCGTTGGCGACTTTTCAAAATTAGATGTAAAGTAAAAACTTTACTGTAGTTCATATGGTTTAAGATAATCCAAAAAAGATTTCACACATCTCGTGCACTTATATAACGTCCAGCTAAATATGTTTTTACTGTAACAGTTTACTGATCTATGAAATTATATAAATTCTAGAAATTTATTAAACCTAATGAATTTAAATATATCTATTATAAGCCAAAAATATTGTGTAATGATATCTATTAAATAAGGTTTAAAATAAACAATGTTATAGTTGTAACTATAATACTCTTAATAAAGAATCTTTTGTGCCCGATGTTACTCCAGTAAATTTAAATCAAGATATGGTTAAAGCCTTACTTTGTTAATATTTGACATTTCCAGATCAAAATAAATTAGTCTCAATTTCTTTTCGATTAAAATCTCAAAAACTTCAATCCTTTTGGGTAAAACTTTATTTTCTACAAAGCGTGATCGACGGAATTGGTTTTTAGTTTTATTTTAATAAATTTTCTTAACTTTATTAGAAATTTAACCAACATTTTATATAAACTGCATAATTTTTAATTTTAAAACATAAAAAATGTTACTAACACAAGGTATAAACAAAATAGTGTATAGTACAAAAAAAACTACTAATAAACCCAACTAATGAATACGTTAAAGAATATAAATTAAAAATAAGTTTTCTCCATCTCTATTTTAATAATTACTTTCCATCTTAAATATATATTTTTTTATTTTTAATATTTAATTAATATGTAGGGGTTTCATTGCTGTGTTTCTGTTACCGAGCCACTTGGACTAATTTAAAAATATTCCATGAACTTTTATCTTTAGTATCACAAATTCCAAACTCAAATTTGGCTTATACCAGTACTTAATTTAGTGCAAAAAATAGTTTTTACAGAGTAAAACATTTTTTTTTAATTATTCATAATTTATGAATCATAAATAATAAAATAATAACATATTTGCACCAAGTCTTTATTTTCCACTGTGTTTTATAAGTGCGAAAAATAATACACATAAATCATTTTTTATGAAGCTATTTAAGCAAACTCATTAAATTATTTATGATTTTATTTAAAAATAATATTTCAAAACAAATATGTAAAACATATAACCATTGTACTAACCTTTGAGATTGTGTATTATTCATATAATTCAAACAAAAGAGTACAAAAATGTTCAATGTAATACTTACTTTTCTTTCAATATTACGTAGTTTTTTATGTTAATTTTCTTGAAATTGTTTTTACTTTTAAATAACTATGATGAAGTTGATTTCATTAAAACACAACAAGAAAAAACCTTTATTCGTTTTCTATACTTTAGAAATGTGATTTAAAAATCATATAAAAAAAAAGTCTCTAGACTACACCGACATTATTTTTCCATTACTAAAGTCAAAAAAAGATTTACTTAAAAACAAAATAACTGTTTCACGAATTCTTCAAGTATCAATATATTTAATATGAAACTTTTAAAGACAAAAAAATAAGATCGGTACATAAAATATTTAGTTAAAAAACTCTTTAAAAATAATTTTTAAATTAAATATTTTTTTAAATTGAAAACGCTACATTTCACTTTTCACTCCAATATTTTATGTTTAAATTGAACAATATAAATTCATTGAAAATATCTGTATATAAGGTAGTAGCTTTTGTCATTGTTAAAAAGTGGCATAAATGATAAACAAAAACATTTTCCTTTTTTACAAATTATTATAATTATTCAAAAAAAAATATTGTAAAATTTGATATAACTAAAGAAACTATGGATCTAGAGAGAGTGGTGATTACACTCCTCATCTAATTAACTTTCCAATAAAAACTAGTATTAACTTTAAGCCTACAAAAATATTTTTTCATTAAGTATCTTGTATTTTTATTTTTTTGCTAATCATTTTTTAATTAATTTCACTTTTGCAAGTCATTACACCTATAACATTATAATATAATTTACCAACATCAATCCAATGTGTACTTGATCGTATGTAGTTTAATACAATTAATTATAAGATTGTTTTATTTAGAATAATTTTAAGTTTAATTATAGTTGGTTACATTTTAACACTAGTACCATA